AATCTCACTCAACCCCAATCAAATTCAAGCTCAAAGTTTGTTAAAAAAAATATTTTTTGTAAAAAATGCAGACCTACAACTTGTGTTTTGACCCTCTTAAAAACTTTTAAATCCATTTTTACGATCACAAATGGCTTCCTAGGGTCTGTTATCTAGGGACACCCATCCTTCAAAGCTCAAACATCCCAACTATGAAAATTCAAAACCTCTATGGCCCAAACTTCAACACCACCTCCACACCACCACAAGCCATGACCAGCCACCAAAACACCACCAAACCATTCCTTGAACCCTCATGAACACACTCATTTAAATTAATTAAACAAAAGTGTAAAGAATACATGAATCCATTTCATGAAAACATAAAATTCGAAACTTTAAAACTCAAATTCGAGTATAACCACTTACTCAAATCAAAAACTAACAACACCAATGAATTCCTAGCATCCAAATTAGGTTAGAGGTATACCTTTGAGTGTTGGAAATAATTTGATTTATAATGTTGGTAAAAATTTATTTGGACTTATGTTTCACAAGAAGATTTTAATATCATATAAACAAACAAATAAATAACAATGAACATAATAGAAATTCATATCAAGATAAGTTTAGAATAGCCCAAATTAAGGCACGCCAAGAGTGTTATCCTAAGAAGAGATACGCTCTCTCTGCATAGAGTATTTCGACGTTCTTTTCTTGAGATACAACAATCCTAGAAAAACTACGATGCAGGCGTGAACCTCTCTATTGGGAACAATCACAACTGAAGTTTTCAAAAAATCACATATAAATCATGCAACAAATAGACGAATATTTTGTATAGAGAAATATAGAAAATAGTATAACTCCTTCATCAAGAATCCTCCAAAATGAGTTGTAGTGATAGCCTTAATTANCCTAGAAAAACTACGATGCAGGCGTGAACCTCTCTATTGGGAACAATCACAACTGAAGTTTTCAGAAAATCACATATAAATCATGCAACAAATAGACGAATATTTTGTATAGAGAAATATAGAAAACAGTATAACTCCTTCATCAAGAATCCTCCAAAATGAGTTGTAGTGATAGCCTTAATTAGGCTGATCTCAAATGGATAGTTTGGAACCATTACTCCCAACTTCAATATACATTAAATATATTAATAAGCTTGATGATGACACACGCACACACACAGACACATGTGTACCCGTTTTTAAAAAATCCTATGAAATATAAATAATGAAAACATTATTGTGGTGGGAGTATACATAATAACTATTCAAAAATTTTCTTTTAATATTAAACTATTCTAACNACACACACAAACACATGTGTACCCGTTTTTAAAAAATCCTATGAAATATAAATAATGAAAACATTATTGTGGTGGGAGTATACATAATAACTATTCAAAAATTTTCTTTTAATATTAAACTATTCTAACAGAATAAGCCTCCAAAGCAAACTTGAAAATTCAAGTGAAGGTTTTCTCTCTACCTCTTTCTTCTCTCTCTCTCCTCTAACCAGTTTCTATTCATTCCAGGCTCTAAGTGAAGGCTTAAGATCATCCTAAAACATTTTAGAGGCATGAAGAAGGCTGGGGAAAGATAGGAAGGCCCTGGGAGTACCAAAAAACCACTTGGGCATGGTTGCAATGCAAGGGTAGTTTAGTAATTATCCAAAATTTGAAATTTGAATTTTTTTAATTAATTTTTTTGAATTATATACTATGAATGTATGCTCGGTTTTCACACACACATACATAGAACACACATTGTATTTGCACTCATTTCTACACAAACCCCTCCAGTCCTCGGGAACAACCCCAAATATGTTCAACCAAATGCCGCAAGGGCCTTTTGTTTTGCTATATCTTTAGTACTTGATTTATTCTTCACTTTTCTCAAGTAAATTATGCTTGGGGTGTTTTACAAGCTTTTATTATTTATTCTAGCAAGGTGGGTGGATTCCTCTCTCTCTCTCTCTCGTGCTACAATATAAAGGTGCGATGACATTATTAACGTGGGTCTTTAAGCTGATGGACGAAATATTGCAATTGCGTAAATCTCTCCCAGTCTCAAGTAACTCTCTCTCCCCTTATTTATCCCATACAAACAACACAGACGCAGATAGGGTTCTTTCTTTGTGGTGTTGTATTAGGTGTGGTTCATTGAGAATAATCTGATGGAATGATTTTCATATCTTTGGTTTGAAGAATTAATAACATTTTGGATATTACAATTTGAACAGATGCACACAGATCGTNGTAAATCTCTCCCAGTCTCAAGTAACTCTCTCTCCCCTTATTTATCCCATACAAACAACACAGAAACAGATAGGGTTCTTTCTTTGTGGTGTTGTATTAGGTGTGGTTCATTGAGAATAATCTGATGGAATGATTTTCATATCTTTGGTTTGAAGAATTAATAACATTTTGGATATTACAATTTGAACAGATGCACACAGATCGTTTGTTATTTTTTTCCATTTGAGTACATGTTTACATCTTTATTAATTCACTTTTTGGGCTTTCTCCCAAGATGTTTGAAAAAATGAGTGATAGTGATTTGATTTCCTAATTTTCTGTGGCTTGCTGGTTGTTTGATGTTTACAACTATTGCTTCCTTGAATTTTGATTNATTTCCTAATTTTCTGTGGCTTGCTGGTTGTTTGATGTTTACAACTATTGCTTCCTTGAATTTTGATTTTTTTAAGACTACTTTATAGTTTAGTACTTTTTTTTAATTAAAGGAGTAACACATCAATTATTGTAAGCTCCTTTTGCTTCATTATCAATTTAACCAATGATTAGTTCAATATTTAATTCCATTTTGTTGGTTTTTTAGTAACTAATTTTTTTTTNTGCTTCATTATCAATTTAACCAATGATTAGTTCAATATTTAATTCCATTTTGTTGGTTTTTTAGTAACTAATTTTTTTTTTCAATTGAGTTATGAGTTGGTAGCATCCATTGTTAATCCTACTTTTAGCTCTAATATCATATGGTTGATTATCTTAACGTTAGATCTCTCTATGACTAATGTCATCCATTTTTCAATTTTGATCCCTCTAAGATTATTGTATTCAGTTGGTTTAGTTGAATAGCAGACCTCCTTCTTTGTCAATTCACAATTATATTGTTATAAAGTATTACTCACATGTTATGTGGCGATTTACTATCACGTTAGGTAGTTGGTGAATGACTGTGCTTAAGCTTGGTATACTATTTGAGTGGATTATTTAGCAAGGATTTAGAATGCTAGAACTACTATTGCTAGATGTAAATCCAAGTGTTGGGGGAAGTTTACTATAGATTTAATTTGTTATAATAAAATTGTAAATTTATTGTCGTGTGAAGGTGCTATGTATAGGTGATTTACATCTTGGGAGATGTTCTAAAATCACCCAAGACAGGAGTTTAAGGATAAAACTAATGCTGAAATTTATATTCATTGCAGGTCTTGATTATTTGTTCTAGCAAGGTGGGTGGATTCCTCTCTCTCTCTCGTATAATAGCAAGGTGCAATGGCATTATTAACGTGGGTTTTTAAGCTGTTGGACGAAATATTGTAATTACGTCAATCTCTCTCAGTCTTATGTAACTCTCTCTCCCCCTATTTCTCTCATACAAATAGCACACACACACAGATAGGATTCTTTCTTTTGGTTGTTGTACTAGTTTGAGTTTGTTGAGAATAATCTAGTGGAATATTTTTTATATCTTTGGTTTGAAGAATTAATACCATTTTGGAGATTATAGTTTGAACATGCGCCTTTATTTGGGATTAATGGACATTGTCATTTACAAAAGCTTCTCTAAAGGAGGCAACTAAACACATCGTGTAGTTGTTGAAAGTTTTTGCTTGATTTGCTGTGTATTTTATTTGCATTGGTCATGTATACTTTATTTCTAAAATATGAATTTTAGTTTATTTTGAGTTTGGATTGTGAACTTTAATTTCGTTTAATTTGAACTTTAACAACTGTGTTTCAGCATATTAACATGCTTATATTTAATGAGATATTGGTTGGCAATTTTTAATCAGAATTAGGATCCTCTACAATGATTTTTGATTTTGTTGGGATGTTGTTTGATCAAATGGTTGTTTGGATTGGAAATATTTTGAAGTATGTCGTGGTTGAATTCAATTTGACCTTATATGGCCAGATAATCTTAAAATATTTTCTTGAGTGGATGAGTTGATTATGTTTGATTGCATTATTCTTGATAAGCATATTTGTATGTAGGTAAATTTTAATGTTTAAGAAGTTGGCTATCGTCATACTGTCATTGTAGTGGGTAGATAGTTATTTTAGACAGGAATTTGATGAGATAATGAGGTACATTGACGAGATTATGAAATATATAAATTGTCGAATTTTTTCAAAAAAAATATTGGGCCCACATTGATTTCGTTGTCTCTAATTGAAACAAAAGAAAAAAAATTATTAGTTAGTATACAATTAATCCAAAAACACAAGAGAGTTGTGCTTAATTTCAATACCAAAAGAGAGTCTTGTGCAAAAGGCCTACATCATAAGGGGTAAACTAGATTTTATTCTAAATTATTTTTAGATGAATAATTTGGTTATTTTTATTTTTAATTTCAAATATTTAAATTCATATCTTGCAAAATAAATACTTTATGCGAATGATTAATATTAAAATTAAAATTATCTAAAAAATTATAATTTAAGAAAATTAAATTAAATGAATATTTTAAAGTTATTCAGAGTTCAAATAAAATAAGAGTAAAGTTGTAATTATTTGTTTAAGAATATAGTGCGACTTTTTTTTTTTTGAGTGTAAATATATTTATGATTTTAAAAAATATTAAAAATAATTTTTTAGTCATTTAAGGTAACATCTTAAAATTTTATATTTTTTAAAAATTTAATCATATTATTTGAAGAGTAATACACGAATGGGACCCTCGATAAGTGAGGTTAAGCTACCGCTTCGCTTGTCTTTACAACAAGAGAGAGAGAGAGAGAGAGAGAGAGAGCAGAAGAGAGAATGGGGCTCTACCTCCTACTCTTCGGCATAACACTCTTCTGGTTTTTTTTCAAAACGTATCTCCACCGTTCACAAACCACAAAACTACCACCCGGTCCGACCGGCCTCCCAATCGTCGGTTCACTCCTTCAAATCGGACCTCAAGTCCACGAGTCACTTGCCAAGCTCGCCAAACTCCACGGTCCACTCATAACTCTCCGACTCGGTTCCATCACAACCAGAGTCGCTTCCTCGCCAGAAACAGCCAAAGAAATTCTCCAGAAACACGACCAGAACTTCTCCGACCGCCACGTCCCTGACGTCATCACCGCCCAACCGAACCCCGAAGCCACGCTCGGTTGGGTCCCCGGCGACCACCGGTGGCGGAACCGCCGCCGTATATGCAGCACCCAAATGTTCACAACCCATAAACTCGACTCACTTCAACACCTCCGCCACCAAAAAGCCCAAGAACTTGTTCTACACATCAAGAAACACTGCTCTTCCGATGGTGTACCGGTGGATATAGGGCGTGTGGTTTTCGCCACCACCCTTAACCTGATATCAAACACCATATTTTCGATTGATATGGTTGACCCAGAATTCGAATCTGCTCAAGAGTTTAAGGACCTGGTCTGGAGAATCATGGAAGACGCTGGGAAGCCAAACCTTTCGGACTATTTTCCGGTGATAAAATGGCTTGATTTGCAGGGAGTGAAGCGTCACATAAGGCCTTCGTATAGAAGATTACATGAGATATTTGATGAGGTTATTGATAAGCGTTTGAAAGATAGGGTTTTGGATTCGAGCAGAAGTGGTGATTTCTTGGATGCGCTTCTTGATCAGTGTGAAGAAGATGGGTCTGGTTTCAATCGTCAAACTATCAAGCCCTTGATCTTGGTAAGGCATCTTATTGGTAAAAATGTTCAAATAATAACATTTACCACAATAATATTAGATCATGTTAATATACTTACATTATATCAATTTATTTTAATAAAAATTAACAATTATTTATACTTAATTTAAGAACATAATTTCAACTTTAATAAATTCTATTTAATATTAAAACTCACAAATAATTTAATTTACAACTGCATCTGGACCATGTTTGTTGACCGGAAGAGAAGGGGACCATGTCTTGGCCAGATTCAATACAGGCTTTGGTTTCTCAACCTATGATGCTACCCACAAAGCTGCTAAGTGACAAAAAGCACGTGCATGATTTCATAATTCAATTTTTTTTTTTTTTTTATAAAGACGAATGACACCATGTGTGGTAGAAGAGCCTATTAGCATACCAGCCATCGATAAGGCCAGGCCTACCATGTCAACCTTAGTTTTTGAGATTCTATATTAGATAGTATTATTAACTGGTAGAAATTATAAAACATGACGACAGGATTTATTCATTGCTGGGAGTGACACATCTGCAATAACAACTGAATGGGCAATGGCAGAGCTTCTACGCAATCCCCATACTATGCAAAAAGCTCGAAATGAAATCATGCAGAAAATTGGCACCAATCGCCTAGTGAAAGAATCAGACATTGATCAACTCCCATACCTCCAAGCTGTTCTAAAAGAGACCATAAGACTCCATCCAGCTGCTCCACTCATGTTACCTCACAAAGCCCGAAACGACGCTGAATTGTTGGGCTTCACCATACCCAAGGGCACTCAAGTGTTCGTAAATGCTTGGTCTATTGGACGTGATCCAAAATATTGGGAGAATCCGCTGGGATTTTTGCCTGAAAGATTTTTAGGACCTAGTCCAGATTATAAAGGCAGAGATTTCGAGTACGTACCGTTTGGTTCTGGCAGAAGAATGTGCCCCGGCTTACCGTTAGCTATTCGGATGGTTCACTTGATGTTGGCTTCTATTATCCAGGCATTTAGTTGGAGGCTACCTGATGGAACAACTCCAGAGAGCCTAGACATGCAAGAGCAGTTTGGAGTCACCCTGAAAAAAGCTGTCCCACTTTGTGCCATCCCTTCATAGAAATTACCCATTTCACAAGACTTCAATCTCTCATAGCAGGGTGGGTGTCAGATAAACAAATGATAGATAGTCTTATTCTAATCTCAAGAGATGGATTTCTAAGCTCAAATCCGATAGTTCAAAATGTATCGCTCGAGTAAAAGTGCATTTACCACTGTTTTCTATGTCCGACCTCTAAATGTTTGGATTGTTGGTCGATTCTATGTAATTTTATGGACTTATTGGTCTTTGTGGTTGTGAATACAGGTTTGGTTTCATTTACTGACTGAAGTTTTGGTTTCATTTACTGACTGAAGTTTTAATATGTCCCCCTCACGTGCTGTTTAGATTTTGGGTCTAATACGTTAAAAAAAAATTTAATAACTAAGGTGACGGCAAAATTCAAACAAATATCTTTCACTTTGATATCATGTTAAACAATCATGTATTCTAAAAATTTAAACTGTTAGAGAGAGTATAATTTAAGTATTTATATTTTAACAATCTCGATAAAATACATATACTAAATTTGCTAAGAGTGCAAAAAATTGTAAATTACTCTTGATAATTTACATGGATCCCAAATCCAATATTTGGTTGGCTGTCGACTGTGGACAGAGAATAGCAAAAGTACAGATCAAACCACCAAATGTGTTTCAATTGACTTCACCTATCCTACAAAATTTTAGCGAAATAGGTATTGTGTTCGAAAGCAATGGACATTTTGTTTCAGCACAATGTAAAATCAAGTTAAGAAACGCAAAACATCTCGTAGCTTTTACAATGCCATAATGCAAAAGTCAAGAGGAAGTGTTTTATATGTAGACTCAATATTCTTAGTTGTAATAAGGCTTCTTTTGGGTGATATCAAAAGTCCTGAGAAATAAAGCCGTGTGTGGATCAGACTCAAAGCAAACAATATTGTTACAATATAGATCAGAGTCTTTACAAAATGGTATCAGAGCTGAAACTAATTGGAAGCGTGCAAATTGGTTACAGATGATATGATAAGTGCTCGGGCTTAGGCCAGTACGAGGATGTGTAGACCTTAAGTGGGTGAATTGTGAAAACCATGGGATTTGGTGTTACAATATCATAGTGTAATCTCACATCGCTTGGTCAAGTCAAGATGAAGTGTTTTATACGTAGACTCAATATTTTTAATTGTAATAAGACCTTTTTTAGGTGATGTTAAAAGCTCAGAGAAGCAAAGTCGTGCTGGTCAAACCCAAAGTGGATAATATTGTTACAATATGGATCGGGGTTATTATAAGAAGACTTCTGCCGTGATTTGTAACATTTCGTTCCACAACCTTAAAGCATCTTTGTTATTGCACATTTTGCAGAGACCGATTCCAAGGAATATTCATCCACGGATTCATATGAGTTAAGGTTGTCCATTCCATCCCCTTCATCATATTCATCCCCTATGCCTTCTATATGACTGTCATTTGTTTTTATTCGACTCCGAAAGGCATTTTGACTGAAGTTGGTTGGTTGTTCTAAATTCCAGAATGGTGAATTTGAAGATTGGTGATTTTCCAGGTGTTTTTCCAAAGCTGACAGATGGCCTCTTCAGTAATAAATTTAAGTTGTTGAGGCAAACGTACCAACGATACCATAGTATTAGTGGCTGCAAGTGATGGTTGAAACTCAGAGTCCCATTATCTCACACTTATAAACTGCTTCCCAATGAACCATGGACCTCCACTGAGTATCCTTTTGGCATCTTTTTATGTATGCAAGCGAGCAACATAGTAGCCTTCACCTATAGCTATGCATGCTATTTTATCTCCAGTTTGCCATAAAGTAACTAGCTTCCCAATCAAGTAATGGTAGCTATATGTTCGCCATAAGTTTTGAAGATAATAGAATTAGCCCAAGGGCGTCTAATTCTAACTTCATCTTCTTTGGACAAATATATTATGGGGCTATTTGACTCCTCAAGTTACCCTTCCAAATTTGTGTCACTATTCAGCCACAAGGTGGTGCAAACTTCTTTAGTGGTGGCTTTTAGGACCAATGCATTCATATACGAAATTTGTGGGGTGTATGTTAAGATGGGCGTATCCAAGTGGTTCATGTTTTGTTTTGCTAGGTTAGTGGGTTGGTTGTGGAGGTTTTGGACAAGGGATGATGTGGAGGTCGTCAAAATTTTGGTGCTAGGAGATGATGTGAGATTGAGAACGATTTGGTATAGGATTAAGTTTTGAGTGAGGGATAGGTCTGAAGGCTTGGTCCGGTGGCTTGTCTGGTTCACGTACTTCCATCATTAGAAGGCTTTTGATTAGAAGTTAGCAAGGCTTCCCATCAAATAGTTGGTGTGCATCAAGAGTCCNAAGGGATGATGTGGAGGTCGTCAAAATTTTGGTGCTAGGAGATGATGTGAGATTGAGAACGATTTGGTATAGGATTAACTTTTGAGTGAGGGATAGGTCTGAAGGCTTGGTCCGGTGGCTTGTCTGGTTCACGTACTTCCATCATTAGAAGGTTTTTGATTAGAAGTTAGCAAGGCTTCCCATCAAATAGTTGGTGTGCATCAAGAGTCCAACAACATTGACTAAGTGGAAGGGGACGAAAATAGTAATTTTTGTATTTGGCAGGGATGGAATTAGTGGTGAAAGGAGGGGAGCAAGTCAGTGGCGACGGTGAAGATTTAATGACGACGGTGATAAGAAACGTCTGGTTTGCAGATGGAATTTACTATGGGGTGGACACAGTATTTGATAGGAAACAATTGTATCAGAAGAGATGGGAGTATGAGGGAAGTGTTGTTGGAATAGGCAAAGTACGACTGGAGTCACGGGAAGAAGATGAGCATGCTGCCCAATGTTAGAATCACGGGAAACGAGGGAAAGCNAAGTGTTGTTGGAATAGGCAAAGTACGACTGGAGTCACGGGAAGAAGATGAGCATGCTGCCCAATGTTAGAAACACGGGAAAAGAGGGAAAGCTCTACGGTGGTGACAGCAAGAGAGGATAACATATGTAATTGACTTGAATATATTAAAATAAATCGAAATTCTTATTATTGTCAAAAAAGACGATGAAATGTTTCTTGATTCTGAAATATCACACTTAAGTTCGGTAGGTGTTTTATTATACTTAACATAATGTACTAGGCTTGATATAAAGTTTGCTACAAATTTATTGGCAAGGTTTAACTTTGTGCCAACTCGACATTCATATATATCCTACATTATTTCTATGAAACTATAGATTTAAGTTTGTTATATTTAAAGAAATCGATTAATGGTCCAAATTTAATAAGATATGTAGATTCTTGCTATCTCTTTAATACTCACAAGGTCGTTCACAAATCTGGTATATATTCATATGTGGTGATACAACAATTTTATGACGACCTATAAAATAGACTTCGATTGTTACATCATCTAATCATTCTGAGACACTCGTATTCCATAGAACAAGTCGTGAATATGTATAGCGAGATTTATAGTCCATCACATCCGAAGTGCATGTGGACTCGCTTCAACTATAGAATCAAGCATATATATCAACAAAATTCTTCTATGTAGAGTCATGAAATTAAAGTAAAGCAGAAACGCTCAAGTAATAATCTTACAGATCTATTCACTAAAATTGTATCCGCATTAACATTCAAAAAGTTGGTATACAGTATCAAAATACGTCAAGTTTGTGACTAGCTCAATTAATTTTTTTATCAGGGAGAGAATCTCATTAGGGGAGCATCCATATCAAAATAACGAATAATTTGCACGTCGCACTCTTTTTCCTTTGTTCAAGTTTTATCACACTGAATTTTTCTAACAAAATTTTAATGATCCAAAAGAAAGTGTTGTAAAGTTTTTAGGGTGGATGACCACCAAATGTTAATGATCCGAGGGGAAGTATTGTAAAGTTTTTAGGGTGGATGACCACCTTTATTTTTCTTCGTCCCACCTCAACTTTACTTCAAAATGGTAGCAATAATGAAAAATATGTGAGATACATTTTTTATCTTTCAAAGATGAAAATTAGGAATGATACATTTTTCTTCTTTTGTGTTTGGTTGGATGGATGAAAAATAAAAATATTTAATTTTTTTTTTGTGCTAGCTAAAATTAGAGGTAACAATCAAGTCGTGTCGTGTCAAATTCGTGTTGAATCATAAAATTGTGAATCTTTTATATTTCTTATTGCCTTGTCAGATCATTTTCAAGTTCGTGTTGAGTTATAATCAAGTTCATGTCATAAAATTTGTATNAAACTCCCTCAAAGCAAAAGAAACCCAAAAAACATCTACTTGAACAGACATAGCAAATCTCGGTCCTACTAATCCCCAAGGTCTCTTTATAAGGGAGGGAAAAAAATTAAGAACAGAACACTAACATTGAGAACTCAACAAAAAAATCATAAAAGGGTACAATCCTTTTCTGATTGTTCTTTACCTTTCTGTAATACGTTTTTCTTCACCTTTTTCTTGTTCATCTACCTCCATTGGTTAAATGTAGCGAGCCATCCCTCATCAAATTTAAGCTGAGACTGTTAAATCGTTCTCGTGAGTATTGCCTCGATGCTTTCCTCCAATCTGTACCTGCCTTCATCATTGCAGCAAATTCCTCATAACTTATGCGCCCATCCTGTCAAACAAAATGAAACCAAGTTGAACTCCCCACCTTCAAAAGCAAAATACCGAAGATAAGCCCTCAAAAGCTAGAATTGAAAGTTTCAAGACACTTGCACTAAAAATGCACACATAAGAAGGAAGACATCTTCCCGATGATGACCAATAAATATGCATCTGAGCATTTCTGTCATTCTGATTGAATCCTATATCACATCAACGCTAAAGATGATATAAATATAGAGTCAAGTGGAATAAATTTATAGGAATATATGATACTCCTAATGCGTTGACAAAATATGTGATGCATACACAGCACATAAAAGTAATTTTCCAACACAAATAAAAGACTGTCACTGAGTTGTATTCATGACATCAAATACTAGGGAAGCCAAAAAAAAAAAATAAAGGATCACATCTATATAGGAGGCACATTTATGCAATCAAAAACATGACAAGGGTATATTCCCACATATGCAAGAGCAGAGACCTCTACTTATACAANTAAGGTTGTTTTGGAAGGAATTCCTTTCCAAAAAGAAATCTTGTAAGGTTAAATTCCGTGAATAAAATTTTTGGGGCGTAGGTACAAAATCTATCCAGACTTCGAGCCTGAGTTTCACATATTTAGAGGTTGAATCACGAAATTTTGTAAACTACACGTTTGTAGCCCTTGGAGTCTTCTTTCCAGCCCCCAAAAATCAAGTAAAGCGGAAATTAGAGTAAAAAGTTATGACCAGAATACTGAAGACGTGTCAAATCCTTATTCTTCTAGGATACTTTCCTAATCTAACTTTAAATGTGTTTTCTTCTATCTTGGACTCTTATAAGGATTAAATTGCTATCATATCTTCAAGTCTTCCTATTCAATCTTGACTCTTCAATCCTTATCAATTACGATTCTTCCTCTAGTGATTGATTCACTTACATTATCCATTATTACTTTAAATCAACCAATTTACCTGCAAAATAAACCAAACAACTAGAAAAAGTATCAAACTAAAAAATCAAGGAATTCAACACATTTAATCACAAATAATATGTAATTAACCAATCATTAAATATAATAAAATAGTAATTTTGATGGTTAATCACACCCCCCAACCTGAATATTACTAGTCCCTAGTAATACATAAATCCTAAAATCTAAAAACTAAAACTTAAAAAACTAAATAATCTAATAAAATAAAACATAAATCCACTTTCGTAGGCCTCACGATTGCATTTAGCATATACAACAAGCCTTTAAACCCCTAAGTTCCCCCTAGTGGGCGAGTATAGTCTCGTGAGGGTTTCCAGAGATGATACCCACAAATATCACCGTGTGATCAAATATCTGAATAATAATTTTATAACACAAATTGCTACCACAATATAAAAATTCTGAGTTACAAACCTTNATATAAATACATATTTTATCATTGTATTTTTATATGAAATTAATGTATACATAATATATAGACAAATAAAATACATCTCAACACAAATAATTAAATTTCCATCCATTTTCTTTTTGATTTTAGATGANATTTTATAACACAAATTGCTACCACAATATAAAAATTCTGAGTTACAAACCTTTTTGTAAGCACATGAAAAGCAAAATATAGAATTCTACGCTATATAAATGTAAGTACTTATCATGTTCCCATATAAACTCGTGTGTAGTGTGAATTAACTATACCAAGTTAACAATTTATCTGATAATCACCTCTATAACTATCAACTATTCGTCTCAATGTCAAATCTCACTAGATAATTCACTCATAAAAGATTCTCTCAGATTATAGTGACTATTCACTCAAATATCACATGTGAGAAGAAGATATTTAAGTCAAAACAAAATAATGCTCACATATTCCATAAAAAAAAATATAATCCAAAAGAAAATGATTTGACATAGTCTCATGAAAGGAAATCAACACATAATATATAAATAATCATCATTCTCTTCCTTATTCACACAAGTCATGTATCAATACACTCTTGAGATGATATAGGACTTTATTTAAGGTTGTAATGGGGCCTTTGGATTAGGGCTTTGAAACGAAGGATATTCAGAAATTCAAAAGACTATCCCGAGAGAACATGCACATTACACAACCAATATTCTTTCCATGACCTTTCACTCTNAAATAGAAGAAGATAAGAAGTTGCAACTACAGGAAACAAAAAGAGTAAATTAAAAGATGATTTAGTCATGTGCAATAAGAGGGTGGGCCTTGGCGCAACAGTAAGGTTGCTCCATTGTGACCTAAAGGTCATGAATTCGAGTTGTGAAAACAGTCTCTGTGCTTGCAAAGATAAGGCTGTGTATATCTAACCCTCTCAGACCCTGCAATGACGGGAGCCTCGTGCACTAGGTATGCCCATTTGGTCATGTCCAACAATAAAATAAAAGCAATATAAGAGACGGTCCTCATAAAGAGGCAAAATATCCGAATGATATTTGTCTATGTACAGATCGGCACTGACCTTATCTGTGTCAACATCATGCATAATGGCTTGGATAACTTCCTCACTGTTAATCTCATCTTCATCATTCAAGGCATCGTGCAGCTCTTCAATCTCTATATAACCAGTGTGGTTTTGATCAAAGAATGCAAAAGCTTTATGTAGGTGCTCATCATTGGCCATCCTTCTAAGATGAACAGAAACAGCAACAAACTCCCCACAATTCAGAGTTCCATCTCTATCAACATCAGCCTGTAGAAATTATGTAACAACCAATGAGTGCAAAACAAAGCTGTTTCAAGTGATTCCCAAATTTAGTAAAGTTGAAAATAAAGAACCAAAGAGATAGAGAGAGGGATGACGGAAATACAAATGAACTATAGACGAATAGAAAACAAAAAACATGTCAAACTCATTAGGTTCTGGGAATAAAACTTTTAAAACACTCAGATGACTTTATTTGCCGCTAGATACAGGCTTATGAGTGGGCAACATAAGGGAATTGGATACATGGCATTGAGATTAATTTTAGGGATTTTATTTCAGTCTGTTCTTTTGAATTTATGACTATGAATACTATTATTATTTTTCGTAATTTTTGATGTACTTATTTTTGGGGACTGTCAATAAATATAGGCCTCATGTAATGGAAGACTCAATTTTGGTATTGACTATTGAACATAACAGAGTTAGAGTGTTTTCTCTCCTTACTCTCTGTTTCTCCCCCACATTGTTCTCTTCCTGTCCTCAGTTCTGCTACTTTTCTCTCTTCTCAATTTTTGTCACATATACTGAACATATCAGTTAGCTGTTTCTTTCATTGAGCACAATGTCATCTATTATCTAAGTTGAGAAGAGGCAGAGTTTAAGTGATGTACCAACATTGCAATCAGTGTAGGAGAATCAGTAGCTCAGTGCACCATAATTAATAATCCAAAGTCAGATGTCATAATAAAAGAAAATATGAAGGGAAAAAATTGTAGGATAGGACACATGACAATGCTTACAGCTTCCATCAGGATTTGAAGGTCTGCATCAGGGATCTGGTGACCAAGCTTTTGCAAACCATTTCTGAGCTCCTCAAGATTTATCTTGCCCCTCTTGCTGGTGTCCATCATATCGAATGCTTCCTTTATTCCTGCCACTTCCTCCACCGACAGATGCTCAGCCACCACCTGTCACATGACATTCAAAGTTCAATAATCAAGGAGAAATCATGCCCGTTCAGAAAAATACAGAGGAATCATAGAAGTGTCAAGCCAAGACTTATGACACAACAGTTCAGACATGATTGTTTATAGTTATGAAGAACTCGATTCAGTTTGGAGAAATTTGAATTATCAATTTGTTACCTTTAAAGCTCTTTTCTTGAGCTTGTTCATCACTGAAAATTGTTTAAGCCTTGCTTTCACAGTTTCGCCCAGTGTGACATTTGGAGCCTTCTTTGCATTTTGTATCCACGGATGCTCTGCATTTACAAAATATGAACAAAATCGAAAAAAGTAATTCAGCACTTTATTCACAATGAGTAATAATTTCAACAGGTGTGAAACACGAATTTAATCTACATTACCAAGCACTTCCTGAGCTGTAAGCCGGCTCTTTGGGTCAGGATCAAGCATTTTCTTTACAAGATCCTTTGCATTGTCTGAAACTTTAGGCCATGGATCTCTCTTAAAATCAATGACAGAGCGAATAATTGCTTGTGCTACTCCTTGTTCAGTTTCTGCAAGAAAAATACAAAATTTGGAGAACCAAAACCAGAATAAATATGTGCTGTAATTGCATGAAGATCCCACTTAAACATGACGCAGTCAAAACAACGCAAATAGTGAACGACATTTTCCAATGAGCTTTTATTAAGGTGGTGGACTTTCAAGGAACTCAAGTCCCTATAGTCAATGAGTGGTTCCAAGAGAACAATACCTTTTGCCTATGTAATAGTTAGTGTTGTTTGCCTATAGTTCTTCGTAGTATTTATGCTTGCAATTGGAATAAGGGAGATAGAGTTTTGTTTGATGAAAATTGTGATTGAGTGCTTTGAGCCTCCATTTGAGAATTGAATGATTCCTCTCTTGAAGGTGAGTGAGTCCCTTGCTTGGTGAGTGATTCCCCAAAACTATCCCTTCTTTTCTTTTTTGCTACAAAAAAAGGTGAGATACAAGGGTACTTAAGAACCTGTACTATAACTGTCTAGAGGTCTTCCCAATTTTTCCTTTAGCACACATTCTTTGACCTTGCAAGGTATTTCTTCAGAGTGGAGACTGCCTGAATTCTGCATCTGTAATCACCATTTGGCTAGTTCGTTCGTGCGTGACAACATTAGCGGTTCTTAGAGTGTGAGACATTCTCCATGTTCTGTGTAACCTCTGTAGGTGTTTCAGGTTGTAGATTATTGAAGAGATAGACCAATGTGGCTTGATGTGGTCTAGCATTGCTGCATGGATGACAGTTTGTGAATCTCCCTCCAGAATTACATAGTTCCATTCCTTACTGTGAGCCCATAATGCAGCATTGTGAGCAGCCAAAGCTTCAGCAGCAAGAGGGTCGTCTTCTGTGCTTGTTTGAAGGATTGCTTCAATTACTGTCCCGTCTGATTCTCTTGCTATGCTGCTAAACAAGACCCTGAATTACTTATTGCTGCATCAAAATTAATTTTGATCTCTCCTTCATATTGGGGGTTCCATTTCTAAAAGAGATTGCCACCAGGACTTTCTTGTGCTGCGTTATATTGAACAGATTGGGCTTTCACTGCCATGAATTCATTGAAGCTATTGAGCTCCTCTTGTAAACAAACTTGAGGTGAGATTTTTGCCTTCTGTTATAGCACTTCATTCCTCTGTCTCCAGATAATGTTTGCTAGAATGGCTGTAAATAGGACAAAACTGGAGCTATGTAGGCCATTTGGGCCAAATAGAGATGTGGGATTGATAATGTTGTGTTCCATTCTTGGATGTTTAGATGGGCATAAGAATCAGTGCACAACCCTCATGTGGTGAACCGAATCATTCTGGCCAGTGGACATTGGAAGAACAAATGGGTATCCATTTCAGTGGATTGTTTGCAGATGGAGCATAAGACATCTTCAATAGGGAATCGACTTGCCAGAAGGCTTTTTGTTGGAAGGCATTCAGCTGCTAGTCGCCACAAGATCATTTTGTGCTTTTCATGCAATGGNTATCATCTTTTCTCAACCAACATCTCCCAAATTACATAAACAATAAAAAGCTCAATATCGGGATAACAAAGGGTAAAGGATATTATTTTTTTTCATTGGCTTGGTTATTATATGTTGGGTTATAAAAAAATAAAATAAAATTTTATTTCAAAGTTCAATCATGACNAGCAAGACATCTAATGCAGATATTCACAATTATGCAGAACTCACTTTTTTTATCATTGGCTTGGTTATTATATGTTGGGTTATAAAAAAATAAAATAAAATTTTATTTCAAAGTTCAATCATGACTTCTAGGGATAATAATATTCAAAAAATAAGGCTTAAACTCAAATAATATCAAAGATGGCCTAAAATCATATCTCAAGAGCTTTTGATTCCACACTCCCCATGCAAATAATTTAAAGTTAAGGAATCATTCATAATATTGGTGTTGACAAAAACAAAAATAATGAGACTATTGAAGGAGATTAGCTGAATAAAAATATTCTTCATTGAGTAAATGTAAATAACCNCACACTCCCCATGCAAATAATTTAAAGTCAAGCAATCATTCATAATATTGGTGTTGACAAAAACAAAAATAATGAGACTATTGAAGGAGATTAGCTGAATAAAAATATTCTTCATTGAGTAAATGTAAATAACCCTCCAAAAAAAATTAGATCAAAACTCACCAGGGTTTTTATGCATCTCCACTATATGTTTCAAGTTTTCAAGGTAAAATACCTAACAAATTTTCAACTTGGTAAAGTCCAAAGTGTACAAATTGTGAGTTTTTATAAGAACATGATATGAGATACAAAAATATAGAATAAAGTTCTATGTGATACTTAAACAGCTACATATTTAAAGTTACGCAAATTATTTCTATATTGTGGTGTCAATTTATGCATAAAAATGTTATTTAAATATTTAATAACCATCAAAAAAATTTTATTTTTTTATTTATTTTTTTANAGTGTACAAATTGTGAGTTTTTATAAGAACATGATATGAGATACAAAAATATAGAATAAAGTTCTATGTGATACTTAAACAGCTACATATTTAAAGTTACGCAAATTATTTCTATATTGTGGTGTCAATTTATGCATAAAAATGTTATTTAAATATTTAATAACCATCAAAAAATTTTTATTTGTTTATTTATTTTTTAAAATTTTTTTTTAGCAAAGTAAATAAATTAAAAAAAATATATAAACTAGGAATTTTCACAACACAAAACATACTCATTCCCTCTAACCTAAATCCAACATTGTCCTCAACGTAAAAATAAATGTCTTAATGTTCAATAAAAATAATGAATAAAGATCAAATGGATAGGAATACCTGGTACTACAACAACTCTAAAACCTAAAAATAAAAACTCAACAAACAAAGAAAACTATAAATGGAAACAAACAGAAAGGAAACTAAAATTAAACAAACAAATAAAATAAATTCTAACTACTATGTACAAATAAAAATAAAATGTCACACTCAATCCAGCTTAAAATCAGATTTGAATATGCGTCCATTCAATTTTATTGGCTTAAAAATATGGTGTCGAAGTAACTCATTTAATCGACCTATCCACTCATATACCCAATATATCTTTTGAACATGCAAGAAAAGGGAGATATATAATTTTTTTTGCAAATCTAAAAATGAAATAGCAAATAGATTTTTATCAATTACAACACACAACTCAACTTTCATACCCTCACCAAAATTAGATATATGAATCTCATTACTACTTGTTAATAATAAAAGGTCTTTGGGCTCATTAGCCTCTTGTGAAATAATAATGTCACTTAATTCTTCACTATCAAGAGTATTAATAGATTCATCCTCAATTTGTAATTCAGAAAAAGAATCACTCTCACTATATTGACTATTGTCAACCTCTTGTTCTTGTTTTAATGTATTGAGCATATTTTTTGTCTCTTCAATATCTTGGCTTATTTGGGCATTGAAAGCTTGTTGGCTTTGCATAAATTCACAAAAAATGTCTTCCAAATTCTTTTCTTGTGGGTCATGGTAAGGTGGATATTGAGGAGGGTCATGTGATGATGTGGCATATATAGGTAACTGATAATGTTCATTCCCCCAATCAACATTGAGNTTATCAATTTACAGCCAATAATTTAAATTGCACATTTATAAAAATATAACAATGGTCGAGATTAATTCAATTTTTATCTTATTTCATCTAATGATATAAAATTCATTATNGGCATATATAGGTAACTGATAATGTTCATTCCCCCAATCAACATTGAGATAAAAATTTTCAGAACAATGGTCGGAGTAAGGTTGAAAAGAATTAGGTAAGACAATTGTCCCGTCTCTCAAAAATTTTCGAGCAGTTGGAATTACAAGGCAAACCTCAATGGGATGCCTATACACATCACAAAGCTCACACAGTACCTCCATCGGGAAAAATCTTCACACCACATTAAAAAGTATAAAATANGGGGCTTGCCATATGTCTTTAAAATTGATTTTGAGAAGGCGTGGATTGGGATTTCTCGGACTATGTCGTAGAGGAGAAAGGCTATGGTAACACTAGTCTATATAAAATCATTGCAAAAGTATTATCTTTGAGATTAAGATAGTCTCTTAGTGATCCTATTTCTGATTGTCAACGAGCTTCTGTAGAGGATAGACAAATTCTTGATGTAGCTCTCATGGCAAATGAGATTATCGATGATTATAAATCTAGAGAAATAGAGGGTTTTGTCTTTAAAATTGATTTTGAGAAGGCGTGGATTGGAATTTTTTGGACTATGCCGTAGAGGAGAGAGAAAGGTTATGGTGGTCGATGAAGAAGTTGGATTAGGGGGTGTTAGGATCTATGAATTTCTCTGTTATGCTTAAAAGGAAGTCTATAGGTAGATTTAAGATTTCTAGAGGCTTGAGACAACGGGATCCTTATCTCCTTTTCTCTTTACTTTGATTGCTGATGGACTTAGCAGGTTAGTGAGGCATGCGAAGAGTTGTAATCTTGTGGAAAGATTTATTGTAGGGAGGGATAATATTTTATTTCTCACTTGCAGTTCGTTGATGATCCAATATTTTTGTGTGTGGCAGATAAAGAAAAAATTGTCAATTTTAAGAATATTGTGGAGGTGTTTGAATTGATGTCAAGTTTGAAGGTAAATATGGATAAAAGTTGTGTCAAGTGGGGGCATGGCCTTTGAAGTATTTAGGTTTGCCTTTGAGGGGAAATCCATTGCTTTTATCTTTTTGGGAGCAAGTAGTCGAGAGCTTTTATTTCCAAATAGGGTAGGTTAACATTAGTACAATCTATTTTAGTTGGTATTCCCACTTATTTTTTATCTTTATTTAAACTTCCTGAGAAAATAGCTATAAAGATTGAAAAAAATGATGAGTGATTTCTTGTGTGAAGGATTTGATGACGAAAGGAATGATCATTTGATTAGTTGGAAGGTAATGTCGGGATCTAAGGATAAAAGAGGTCTTTCAATCGAAAAATTAAAGGCAAGAAATATTGTTTTTGTGGGTAAGTGGCTTTAGACATTTCCTTTGGAACAAAATTCACTATGGCATTTGATTATCAAGAACAAATATGGATTATAAGTTGATGGATGAGACGCTAATAGGGCTAAAAGGAAAAGTTTTCAATACCCGTGGAAGTTTATATCCCAGGGAGTAACGAGGTTTTCCCAAAATCTTAAATTAAAAGTGGGTAATGGGGAGAGAATTCATTTTTGGGAGGAGGCATAGGTTGAGGAGTCATCTTTTTCATCTTTGTTTTTATGTCTCTATCAATTGTCAAATTCTGATGGCACATTCGTTCCGCTATGATTCGGTCTACAATCATCCAGACTCTGGGGACTTAGTTTTCATAGGAATTTAGATGATAAAGACACTAGGGATTTGATAGTTTTTCTTTCGATTCTTGATTAGTGTCTTTTCTAGTAAATCCTTCTTTGATTCTTTAGTGGATGATCCTTCTTGTCCTATTTTTGCCCCAACTTCAATGATATAGAGGGCTAAGGCGTCAATTAAAGTACAGGTGTTTGCATGGACTGTGGCACATGATAAGATTAAGACCAATGATTTCCTTCAAAAAGAAGACCTCGTACCTGTCTTTCCCCACAATGGTGTGTGTTAAGTAAAACTGCTTTGGAAAGCATTGATCATTTATTCCTACAGTGCCCTATTCTTATGTCCTTGTGGAATAAGTTGTTTGGTCTGCAAGCATGAGTTGGGTGATTCCTGAATTATGTGTATCCTTATTTATCGAAGATTGGAAAGGTCCTGGGAGACTTGATAGAGGCGTGACACTTTGGCATTGTGCTATTTTTGCTACATTTTGGGTTATTTAGAAGAAAAGAAATGCATAAATATTTTAAGATCAACACAAATGGATGGAAATATTATGGGATCGCACTTATGTATTAGTGTCTTTTTGGACATCAGTAACCAGCAACTTTAAAGGAATTCCGCTTTTTACTATTTTAGCGGATTGGAGAGTTTCATCTAATTTCTAGGCTTTTATATTTTTTTATCCTTTTCAGTTGTTTTTTTTTTTCCACTACTTGGTTGGATTCCTAATCCAATTTTTTGATGTACTTTTTATTTTTAATTAATGCAAAGTTCCCGTTTCCTATAAAAAAAAAAGTATATAGCAAAGGTACTGCAATTGTTGGAATTAAAGAAGCACACCTGCCCAGAAAGGTGGAACACCACAAAGCAGAATGTATAGGATAACTCCAGCACTCCAGACATCAACCTCTGGGCCATAATTACGTTTTAGGACCTCTGGAGCCATGTAATAAGGACTTCCCACTATCTCCGTAAAGCGCTGTCCTGTAGAAATTATGCAACTTAAGGTATAGTAGGGAAAAACATACAAAAATACAATTATGACGTTAAGCACCTAATGCTGATATTTCCAATTCAGCTTGGCAAAGAAAATGTTCTGAATGCATTATAAATGCAATTGAGTCATAAAAAATAAAAGCAATTGGGACAATTCATTACCAGGTTTAAAGAAAACTGACAACCCAAAATCGATTGCCTTTAAGGGTGCTGTTTCCTTCTTGTTTCCAAAAAGAAAATTCTCTGGTTTGAGATCCCGATGCATCACTCCATGCCTGTGACACATCTGAAATTCATAGGAAGCATAAACTACGATTCGCAAAAAGGAACAAGCTTAATTAAAAGGGGCAAGTACCACCCAATTTATATAACCTAGTTATGATCAGTGACAAACAATGAGCCAAACACACACACATGCAGAGAGACAGAGACAAAGACAGATTCATGATCTGCTGATACCAAAGACTCAAGGTTAGAAAAAGCTACTTATAAGACAACAAAATACTCCCGCAAGAAGATCGCATGAAAGGCCAGAGTAACCTGGACTGGTGAACACCATGGAAAGGCCAAAGCTAGTGAAGCATTTGAGAACTATTACAGAGCCAATGGGATAAATCATAAATCTAGTACATCAGAAAAGAGAAATGAAAGAAAAGCATAAAAACAACCTGCAAAGGTGTACATTTGCTGAAAAGATTGAAAGCAAACTTTTAGCTGACACATGATAGTGTATATGACCATTAAAGAATAAAATTAGTCACATTCAAGAATTTTCAGCATGTGGAAACATATATTTATGAGTGACATTATAGTACCAAAAAGTAACCTCACCAACAAGTCATTTTCAACCATCGATTTTTGGTTGAATTAATTTGTAGCCATTAATTGCAAAAATAATAAATCAAATAAAAGAATAAGATGCAAAGGTATTACTCATGTCACACTCTCATTGATCAACAAGACGAGATGTGGTGCTGAAAATTTACTTTTCGATATCTTAGTGCTACCCCATAGGTATATACAGCAACTTCTAGGAACATAATGAACATACGCAGCCAAGTACAATACCCATTAAATGGAGACTAAATTTCCTAGTATCAAGTACAGCTTCAACAAACAAGGTTCTCCACAAACTAATCTAGCTCCACACTAAAAAAAAGATTTTATTTATCAACAAAATTAACAGGGTATGTAATTCTATAATGAACAAATATTACAAAACCCACAACAACAACAATATAGCCTAATTCAACAAAAATATGCAAATTAGTAAATAACAAAAAAACCCAATTCCAAGATGATACATAATCCAATTAACATTTAAGCCTACAACAATTTAACAACGTAAAAATTGGTCAATCTTGTACCTGAACAACTTCCACAATTGTCCTCATGACAGCTGCAGCCGCCCTCTCTGTATAATGCCCCCTCGCCACGATCCGATCGAACAATTCTCCACCCTCACACAATTCCATGACAATGTGAACTGCATTGTCATCCTCATATGTATCCTTCAAGCTGACAATATTGGGATGCTTAGGCAAATGCCTCATAATCTCAACCTCTCTCCTCACGTCCTCAATATCCACAGCAGTCCTAAGCTTCTTTTTCGATATTGATTTGCAGGCAAATTTCTCGCCTGTATCCACATCTGTACACAAATATGTGATTCCAAATTCACCTCTACCTAGCTCACGACCCAGATCATAACTCTGGTTAATGTCACGGCCCGTTGGATCCTTTAACACAACAAGCTTGTCTCCAGATCTATGATTTGCATGGTAATCTATTGAGAATGGATTGGGTTTGTTCTTTTTCTTTTCCTTTTTCCTCTTCTCTGAAGAACCAACAGGAACCACACAGCAATTTCCCATGATTCAAAGGTTCAAATCTTGATATTTACCTATATCCCGGAGATTCTGAAGGAAACCCAATGAATCATATTAGAATTGCCACTGAAAAATTGTATGTTGAGCATAAATCAAGAAAATCAATACGAATCCAACCCACAGTTTTGAAGAACCACGAGAAATATAGAAAAGAACCAATCAAATATTGGACTTTCCCAAGAAAAAATCCAAAAAACATCCACAAGCCAAGAAAACAGAGACAGGCAGGTTTTGGAAGAAATCTCCAAGAACTCCGGAACATTATCAAAATGCTTGAAAAACAAATATATTGGCTAGAAAAACAACAAAAAGATCCAAAAAAAACAAGAGTTGCAGAGATATCAAGAAAACCCAGAAGCCATGAAGGTACCTATAATGAAATGTTGCAGAGAATAACCCACCTTGGATCTTTTCCTTTTCTTGGGATTTTTGGGAAAAACTGAGAAAACGCAGATGGGTTTGAAGGTCAAAGTATTGAATTAATTAGTTAAAGATAGAAATAAAAGGGTGGTTGGGGAAGTGACGGCAGGGTAAAGAGATGGATTCAAGTTGTAAATCCGCCATGGATGTTGAAAGAGAGAGTCAAAGCTCTTTTGCAGAGACTTTTCTCTCTCCTAGCCCCCAATTCCTATCTGTCGCTTTCTCTCTCCAACTTAGGTAATTTTTTTTCTCTTTTTACTCTCAGATTCATCCACAGAATAAGACAGAACAACCCCTTTTCTTTTGTTCTTTTTTTCCCCCCTTCTTTTTCTCTTCCCAAAATATCCAAACAAACTTCAATTCTCCTTTTTTTCTTTTTTTTTAACCTTTTTGGTTTTTAATATAATTTTTACAATATAATGGGCAGATTTCCGATCCATCCATTTATCAATTTACAGCCAATAATTTAAATTGCACATTTATAAAAATATAACAATGGTCGAGATTAATTCAATTTTTATCTTATTTCATCTAATGATATAAAATTCATTATCACTCAAATATATTATTTTCTCTCCACGACTCTCGATGCCACAAAATTTAATCAACACACTCTGAAATGTCAAAGAATCGCATTTAATGAAAATTTAAACCCTTATTCAAATTTAAATAAAAAAAAGATAAAAAATTTGATTTGATATATACCTCTGTAATGAAAAAACTCAAATTTAAATGAGAACAAAATTAAATTTAAAATAAAATAAAAAGTGATAATTAANTTTCTTGAGCTTGTTCATCACTGAAAATTGTTTAAGCCTTGCTTTCACAGTTTCGCCCAGTGTGACATTTGGAGCCTTCTTTGCATTTTGTATCCACGGATGCTCTGCATTTACAAAATATGAACAAAATCGAAAAAAGTAATTCAGCACTTTATTCACAATGAGTAATAATTTCAACAGGTGTGAAACACGAATTTAATCTACATTACCAAGCACTTCCTGAGCTGTAAGCCGGCTCTTTGGGTCAGGATCAAGCATTTTCTTTACAAGATCCTTTGCATTGTCTGAAACTTTAGGCCATGGATCTCTCTTAAAATCAATGACAGAGCGAATAATTGCTTGTGCTACTCCTTGTTCAGTTTCTGCAAGAAAAATACAAAATTTGGAGAACCAAAACCAGAATAAATATGTGCTGTAATTGCATGAAGATCCCACTTAAACATGACGCAGTCAAAACAACGCAAATAGTGAACGACATTTTCCAATGAGCTTTTATTAAGGTGGTGGACTTTCAAGGAACTCAAGTCCCTATAGTCAATGAGTGGTTCCAAGAGAACAATACCTTTTGCCTATGTAATAGTTAGTGTTGTTTGCCTATAGTTCTTCGTAGTATTTATGCTTGCAATTGGAATAAGGGAGATAGAGTTTTGTTTGATGAAAATTGTGATTGAGTGCTTTGAGCCTCCATTTGAGAATTGAATGATTCCTCTCTTGAAGGTGAGTGAGTCCCTTGCTTGGTGAGTGATTCCCCAAAACTATCCCTTCTTTTCTTTTTTGCTACAAAAAAAGGTGAGATACAAGGGTACTTAAGAACCTGTACTATAACTGTCTAGAGGTCTTCCCAATTTTTCCTTTAGCACACATTCTTTGACCTTGCAAGGTATTTCTTCAGAGTGGAGACTGCCTGAATTCTGCATCTGTAATCACCATTTGGCTAGTTCGTTCGTGCGTGACAACATTAGCGGTTCTTCGAGTGTGAGACATTCTCCATGTTCTGTGTAACCTCTGTAGGTGTTTCAGGTTGTAGATTATTGAAGAGATAGACCAATGTGGCTTGATGTGGTCTAGCATTGCTGCATGGATGACAGTTTGTGAATCTCCCTCCAGAATTACATAGTTCCATTCCTTACTGTGAGCCCATAATGCAGCATTGTGAGCAGCCAAAGCTTCAGCAGCAAGAGGGTCGTCTTCTGTGCTTGTTTGAAGGATTGCTTCAATTACTGTCCCGTCTGATTCTCTTGCTATGCTGCTAAACAAGACCCTGAATTACTTATTGCTGCATCAAAATTAATTTTGATCTCTCCTTCATATTGGGGGTTCCATTTCTAAAAGAGATTGCCACCAGGACTTTCTTGTGCTGCGTTATATTGAACAGATTGGGCTTTCACTGCCATGAATTCATTGAAGCTATTGAGCTCCTCTTGTAAACAAACTTGAGGTGAGATTTTTGCCTTCTGTTATAGCACTTCATTCCTCTGTCTCCAGATAATGTTTGCTAGAATGGCTGTAAATAGGACAAAACTGGAGCTATGTAGGCCATTTGGGCCAAATAGAGATGTGGGATTGATAATGTTGTGTTCCATTCTTGGATGTTTAGATGGGCATAAGAATCAGTGCACAACCCTCATGTGGTGAACCGAATCATTCTGGCCAGTGGACATTGGAAGAACAAATGGGTATCCATTTCAGTGGATTGTTTGCAGATGGAGCATAAGACATCTTCAATAGGGAAACGACTTGCCAGAAGGCTTTTTGTTGGAAGGCATTCAGCTGCTAGTCGCCACAAGATCATTTTGTGCTTTTCATGCAATGGGGCTTGCCATATGTCTTTAAAATTGATTTTGAGAAGGCGTGGATTGGGATTTCTTGGACTATGTCGTAGAGGAGAAAGGCTATGGTAACACTAGTCTATATAAAATCATTGCAAAGGNAAATAAAAATTATGAAATATCTAACCTACGGAAAAATAAAACAAATAAATAACAAATAATAAAATTAAAAGGAACGAGANATAAAATCATTGCAAAAGTATTATCTTTGAGATTAAGATAGTCTCTTAGTGATCCTATTTCTGATTGTCAACGAGCTTCTGTAGAGGATAGACAAATTCTTGATGTAGCTCTCATGGCAAATGAGATTATCGATGATTATAAATCTAGAGAAATAGAGGGTTTTGTCTTTAAAATTGATTTTGAGAAGGCGTGGATTGGAATTTTTTGGACTATGCCGTAGAGGAGAGAGAAAGGTTATGGTGGTCGATGAAGAAGTTGGATTAGGGGGTGTTAGGATCTATGAATTTCTCTGTTATGCTTAAAAGGAAGTCTATAGGTAGATTTAAGATTTCTAGAGGCTTGAGACAACGGGATCCTTATCTCCTTTTCTCTTTACTTTGATTGCTGATGGACTTAGCAGGTTAGTGAGGCATGCGAAGAGTTGTAATCTTGTGGAAAGATTTATTGTAGGGAGGGATAATATTTTATTTCTCACTTGCAGTTCGTTGATGATCCAATATTTTTGTGTGTGGCAGATAAAGAAAAAATTGTCAATTTTAAGAATATTGTGGAGGTGTTTGAATTGATGTCAAGTTTGAAGGTAAATATGGATAAAAGTTGTGTCAAGTGGGGGCATGGCCTTTGAAGTATTTAGGTTTGCCTTTGAGGGGAAATCCATTGCTTTTATCTTTTTGGGAGCAAGTAGTCGAGAGCTTTTATTTCCAAATAGGGTAGGTTAACATTAGTACAATCTATTTTAGTTGGTATTCCCACTTATTTTTTATCTTTATTTAAACTTCCTGAGAAAATAGCTATAAAGATTGAAAAAAATGATGAGTGATTTCTTGTGTGAAGGATTTGATGACGAAAGGAATGATCATTTGATTAGTTGGAAGGTAATGTCGGGATCTAAGGATAAAAGAGGTCTTTCAATCGAAAAATTAAAGGCAAGAAATATTGTTTTTGTGGGTAAGTGGCTTTAGACATTTCCTTTGGAACAAAATTCACTATGGCATTTGATTATCAAGAACAAATATGGATTATAAGTTGATGGATGAGACGCTAATAGGGCTAAAAGGAAAAGTTTTCAATACCCGTGGAAGTTTATATCCCAGGGAGTAACGAGGTTTTCCCAAAATCTTAAATTAAAAGTGGGTAATGGGGAGAGAATTCATTTTTGGGAGGAGGCATAGGTTGAGGAGTCATCTTTTTCATCTTTGTTTTTATGTCTCTATCAATTGTCAAATTCTGATGGCACATTCGTTCCGCTATGATTCGGTCTACAATCATCCAGACTCTGGGGACTTAGTTTTCATAGGAATTTAGATGATAAAGACACTAGGGATTTGATAGTTTTTCTTTCGATTCTTGATTAGTGTCTTTTCTAGTAAATCCTTCTTTGATTCTTTAGTGGATGATCCTTCTTGTCCTATTTTTGCCCCAACTTCAATGATATAGAGGGCTAAGGCGTCAATTAAAGTACAGGTGTTTGCATGGACTGTGGCACATGATAAGATTAAGACCAATGATTTCCTTCAAAAAGAAGACCTCGTACCTGTCTTTCCCCACAATGGTGTGTGTTAAGTAAAACTGCTTTGGAAAGCATTGATCATTTATTCCTACAGTGCCCTATTCTTATGTCCTTGTGGAATAAGTTGTTTGGTCTGCAAGCATGAGTTGGGTGATTCCTGAATTATGTGTATCCTTATTTATCGAAGATTGGAAAGGTCCTGGGAGACTTGATAGAGGCGTGACACTTTGGCATTGTGCTATTTTTGCTACATTTTGGGTTATTTAGAAGAAAAGAAATGCATAAATATTTTAAGATCAACACAAATGGATGGAAATATTATGGGATCGCACTTATGTATTAGTGTCTTTTTGGACATCAGTAACCAGCAACTTTAAAGGAATTCCGCTTTTTACTATTTTAGCGGATTGGAGAGTTTCATCTAATTTCTAGACTTTTATATTTTTTTATCCTTTTCCGTTGTTTTTTTTTTTCTACTACTTGGTTGGATTCCTAATCCAATTTTTTGATGTACTTTTTATTTTTAATTAATGCAAAGTTCCCGTTTCCTATAAAAAAAAAAGTATATAGCAAAGGTACTGCAATTGTTGGAATTAAAGAAGCACACCTGCCCAGAAAGGTGGAACACCACAAAGCAGAATGTATAGGATAACTCCAGCACTCCAGACATCAACCTCTGGGCCATAATTACGTTTTAGGACCTCTGGAGCCATGTAATAAGGACTTCCCACTATCTCCGTAAAGCGCTGTCCTGTAGAAATTATGCAACTTAAGGTATAGTAGGGAAAAACATACAAAAATACAATTATGACGTTAAGCACCTAATGCTGATATTTCCAATTCAGCTTGGCAAAGAAAATGTTCTGAATGCATTATAAATGCAATTGAGTCATAAAAAATAAAAGCAATTGGGACAATTCATTACCAGGTTTAAAGAAAACTGACAACCCAAAATCGATTGCCTTTAAGGGTGCTGTTTCCTTCTTGTTTCCAAAAAGAAAATTCTCTGGTTTGAGATCCCGATGCATCACTCCATGCCTGTGACACATCTGAAATTCATAGGAAGCATAAACTACGATTCGCAAAAAGGAACAAGCTTAATTAAAAGGGGCTAGTACCACCCAATTTATATAACCTAGTTATGATCAGTGACAAACAATGAGCCAAACACACACACATGCAGAGAGACAGAGACAAAGACAGATTCATGATCTGCTGATACCAAAGACTCAAGGTTAGAAAAAGCTACTTATAAGACAACAAAATACTCCCGCAAGAAGATCGCATGAAAGGCCAGAGTAACCTGGACTGGTGAACACCATGGAAAGGCCAAAGCTAGTGAAGCATTTGAGAACTATTACAGAGCCAATGGGATAAATCATAAATCTAGTACATCAGAAAAGAGAAATGAAAGAAAAGCATAAAAACAACCTGCAAAGGTGTACATTTGCTGAAAAGATTGAAAGCAAACTTTTAGCTGACACATGATAGTGTATATGACCATTAAAGAATAAAATTAGTCACATTCAAGAAGTTTCAGCATGTGGAAACATATATTTATGAGTGACATTATAGTACCAAAAAGTAACCTCACCAACAAGTCATTTTCAACCATCGATTTTTGGTTGAATTAATTTGTAGCCATTAATTGCAAAAATAATAAATCAAATAAAAGAATAAGATGCAAAGGTATTACTCATGTCACACTCTCATTGATCAACAAGACGAGATGTGGTGCTGAAAATTTACTTTTCGATATCTTAGTGCTACCCCATAGGTATATACAGCAACTTCTAGGAACATAATGAACATACGCTGCCAAGTACAATACCCATTAAATGGAGACTAAATTTCCTAGTATCAAGTACAGCTTCAACAAACAAGGTTCTCCACAAACTAATCTAGCTCCACACTAAAAAAAAGATTTTATTTATCAACAAAATTAACAGGGTATGTAATTCTATAATGAACAAATATTACAAAACCCACAACAACAACAATATAGCCTAATTCAACAAACATATGCAAATTAGTAAATAACAAAAAAACCCAATTCCAAGATGATACATAATCCAATTAACATTTAAGCCTACAACAATTTAACAACGTAAAAATTGGTCAATCTTGTACCTGAACAACTTCCACAATTGTCCTCATGACAGCTGCAGCCGCCCTCTCTGTATAATGCCCCCTCGCCACGATCCGATCGAACAATTCTCCACCCTCACACAATTCCATGACAATGTGAACTGCATTGTCATCCTCATATGTATCCTTCAAGCTGACAATATTGGGATGCTTAGGCAAATGCCTCATAATCTCAACCTCTCTCCTCACGTCCTCAATATCCACAGCAGTCCTAAGCTTCTTTTTCGATATTGATTTGCAGGCAAATTTCTCGCCTGTATCCACATCTGTACACAAATATGTGATTCCAAATTCACCTCTACCTAGCTCACGACCCAGATCATAACTCTGGTTAATGTCACGGCCCGTTGGATCCTTTAACACAACAAGCTTGTCTCCAGATCTATGATTTGCATGGTAATCTATTGAGAATGGATTGGGTTTGTTCTTTTTCTTTTCCTTTTTCCTCTTCTCTGAAGAACCAACAGGAACCACACAGCAATTTCCCATGATTCAAAGGTTCAAATCTTGATATTTACCTATATCCCGGAGATTCTGAAGGAAACCCAATGAATCATATTAGAATTGCCACTGAAAAATTGTATGTTGAGCATAAATCAAGAAAATCAATACGAATCCAACCCACAGTTTTGAAGAACCACGAGAAATATAGAAAAGAACCAATCAAATATTGGACTTTCCCAAGAAAAAATCCAAAAAACATCCACAAGCCAAGAAAACAGAGACAGGCAGGTTTTGGAAGAAATCTCCAAGAACTCCGGAACATTATCAAAATGCTTGAAAAACAAATATATTGGCTAGAAAAACAACAAAAAGATCCAAAAAAAACAAGAGTTGCAGAGATATCAAGAAAACCCAGAAGCCATGAAGGTACCTATAATGAAATGTTGCAGAGAATAACCCACCTTGGATCTTTTCCTTTTCTTGGGATTTTTGGGAAAAACTGAGAAAACGCAGATGGGTTTGAAGGTCAAAGTATTGAATTAATTAGTTAAAGATAGAAATAAAAGGGTGGTTGGGGAAGTGACGGCAGGGTAAAAAGATGGATTCAAGTTGTAAATCCGCCATGGATGTTGAAAGAGAGAGTCAAAGCTCTTTTGCAGAGACTTTTCTCTCTCCTAGCCCCCAATTCCTATCTGTCGCTTTCTCTCTCCAACTTAGGTAATTTTTTTTCTCTTTTTACTCTCAGATTCATCCACAGAATAAGACAGAACAACCCCTTTTCTTTTGTTCTTTTTTTCCCCCCTTCTTTTTCTCTTCCCAAAATATCCAAACAAACTTCAATTCTCCTTTTTTCTTTTTTTTTAACCTTTTTGGTTTTTAATATAATTTTTTACAATATAATGGGCAGATTTCCGATCCATCCATTTATCAATTTACAGCCAATAATTTAAATTGCACATTTATAAAAATATAACAATGGTCGAGATTAATTCAATTTTTATCTTATTTCATCTAATGATATAAAATTCATTATCACTCAAATATATTATTTTCTCTCCACGACTCTCGATGCCACAAAATTTAATCAACACACTCTGAAATGTCAAAGAATCGCATTTAATGAAAATTTAAACCCTTATTCAAATTTAAATAAAAAAAAGATAAAAAATTTGATTTGATATATACCTCTCCAATGAAAAAACTCAAATTTAAATGAGAACAAAACTAAATTTAAAATAAAATAAAAAGTGACAATTGAATTTTTAAAGAATGGTGTAATCTCACTATTAAAAATTTTAATATAAATTTAAATCTCCTTTGATTTAAGTAAAAAACAAATGAGTCTCTTATATTTGATATGAGTATAAGTCTAGTTTCCGAGAAAGTTTTTAAGAGTTCTTTTTTATATCCAATTACAATACTTCTTTTTTATATCTAGTNGAATAAAATATCATAAATCATTAAATTCATAATTAATAACATTACCGAACTTCATTGAGAGGTTCTCCCCTAGCCNAAAATTAAAAGGAACGAGAATAAAATATCATAAATCATTAAATTCATAATTAATAACATTACCGAACTTCATTAAGAGGTTCTCCCCTAGCCCTAGCTTAGCCTTCTAGCCAGACATGACAAACTAAAACTATAAAAGAAAAGATGGGAAAAAAATCATACCCAAATCCTAGATGAAAGCCCTTATTTATACTAAAAATAAATCCTAAGTATAAGTAGAAGATATAAGGTTGTTTTGGAAGGAATTCATTTCCAAAAAGAAATCTTGTAAAGTTAAATTTCGTGAATAAAATCTTTGGGGCGCGTGTACAAAATCTGTCCAGATTTTGAGCTTAGATTGCGCATATTTAAAGGTTGAATCACGAAAATTTCGTGAAATACACTTTTGTAACCCTTGGAGTCTTCTTTCTAGTCCCCAAAAATCAAGTAAATCAGAAATCAGAGTCAAAAGTTATGACCAGAATACTGAAAACGTATTAAATCCTTATTCTTCTATGATACTTTCCTAATCCAACTTTAAATGAGTTTTCTTCTATCTTGGACTCTTATTAGGATTAAATTCATATCATATCTTCAAGTCTTCTGATTCAATCTTTACTCTTCAATCTTAATCAATTGCGATTTTNTACAATCTATTTTAGTTGGTATTCCCACTTATTTTTTATCTTTATTTAAACTTCCTGAGAAAATAGCTATAAAGATTGAAAAAAATGATGAGTGATTTCTTGTGTGAAGGATTTGATGACGAAAGGAATGATCATTTGATTAGTTGGAAGGTAATGTCGGGATCTAAGGATAAAAGAGGTCTTTCAATCGAAAAATTAAAGGCAAGAAATATTGTTTTAGTGTGNAATATAATAAAATAATAATTTTGATGGTTAATCAGGATAATTAGCACTCTATTATTTTTATTTAGGTATTCTTATATCAATTAACGTCTCCGAAAAGAAGAAAAAAATCGGGGCATTACACAGGAAGAGTATTTAACTCTGTATAATTTAACTTAGGTTTGGCTATTAAGGCCTCTTTAATTGATTTTTGAGATCTTACGACGGTATAACTGTCATCATCATTCTTACTTGATGATCCTTCTTTAGAAAGTTGATTATTAACAACTTTAAGTTGTTTTGATTCATTAAGAAGGGGGTAATATGCATTGATTTGGGTCCTTCCCCTAGATCTTCCTCTTCCGCGGCCTCGACCACTGTTACCACTCTGGCCCCTATTTAAGAGAGCCCTGAAAAAATTCTTTTGTTATAAAATCGGGAAAAACATTCAATTATATTTTAACATATTCAATTTTAAAATAAAAAACATAAAGAATAGTCTGTCATCTTGCAAAAATCTATTTAGAAACAATGTTCTTTACATCTTGTTCAATAACATTTTTGGCAAAACTACAATCAATTCTTAATAAGAATTCTTGATTTGATAAACCATCTTGAAATTTACTTATGCATTTTACAATGGATAAAATTTCTTTTTTGATAGTAGAATAATTTAATTGAGTAGATCCTCATTTAGCCAAAGTAAATCTAATAAGTAATTCCTTATTAGTATTGAGATATCTTTGCTTAAGAAAACCCCCAAATCCTTTATCTGAGGCATCAGTCTCAACAATTTTATATCATTATGGATTTACCAATGAAAGGCACATGGTAAATGTTTAGCTTTAAGCATATTTTTTCTTACAGCTTCAGTACGAAGATCTGTCCATGGGAATAGATTTTTCTTAAGTCTAGAATATAAAATAGCAGTATCTTGGGCTAGATTCTTATAAAAGTCTATCAAATAATTTAAACTTTCCAAAACACTTTGTAATTGTTTTTTATTTTTAATTTCATCAGAAAATTTAGAAGCAAATTCAATACTTCTTTCAATCGGGACTATACTCCCTTGTTAAATATAATGATACAAAAATCAAATTNTTTCTTAAGTCTAGAATATAAAATAGCAGTATCTTGGGCTAGATTCTTATAAAAGTCTGTCAAATAATTTAAACTTTCCAAAACACTTTGTAATTGTTTTTTATTTTTAATTTCATCAGGAAATTTAGAATCAAATTCAATACTTCTTTCAATCGGGACTATACTCCCTTGTTAAATATAATGATACAAAAATCAAATTTTTAATTGAAATAATTTCATTTTAATAGTAGAAATAACTAATCCATTCTTTTTTACTACTTGAATGAATTTATTTAAATATTTAAAATGCTGGTCAAGAGATTCAGAAAAAAATTAGTATATCATCAATATAAACAATACAAAATCCATAATAAGGATTGAAAATATTATTCATAATATTCTGAAATTCTGTAAGACCCTGCACTAAAAATTAAATAAGAATACTAATATCTTAAGAGTTTTCCAAATATGAATAAAATGAGGATAAAAACTTAGAATCATTGTTGAAATATTAATCATGAAGTTTGAGTTTCGAACGGATTGACTTTTGGGTCAAACTTAATTTTTTTTTGGATGTGTTTAAGATTGATAAAGGTAACTAAATAAATATATTATTTTTTTTTATCAAAATAACATTACCATTGAATTCGGGAGGTCGGAAAACATTGGGAGAGGTAATATGGGATGTATTAGAAGTTAGGAAGTATTTTAGAAGTAAAACCAAATTGGAGTGAAATTGGGTAAAAAGGGGTGATGGACACTGCTTAATATTTTGATCATAACTTTATATTCTGATGTCCAATTAATCTGAAATTTTGACAGGAAATATTACACATCTAGGGCTACAAAAGTGTATTTCATGAAAAATTTCCAATTCGACCTCTAAATGGGTCAAAACTGACCTGGAAGTCGCACCAAAAATCTGTGAACAGTACGAAGGAAACCCGATTTTTTCTGAACAGAAAATATCGGGTTTTGCTCGATTTTCTTGCCCTATAAAAACCTAATGTCGTCCCTTTAGCATTCATTTCACCCCTCCAAACCCTAGGAACCATTTTAGAGGAAGAGAGGAAGATAGAAATACCAATCAAGAGGGATTTATACCTTGTAGAAATCAAAACTTCAAATTCTTCAAGAATACATTCTCCTCCCATTTTCTTCCATTCTTGCTACCCTCTCACCCAAATCTTTTGAAACCCTAGGAGGAGAAGATTAAGAGGAAAAGAAAGGAGAGCAAGAAGGTCTTGAAGCTTGGGTCTTAGCTTGGAATCTTGATTTAAGGTAGGGGATTTTCTCTCAATCTCTCACTGTGACACCCCAAATTCATCTATAGATATATATATGTATATAGATATATGTTTCTTCACTCTCCTTCTCATATATATAATATGAAATACATGATTCTTGTTCTATTTGTAATAAATGTCATGTTTTGAACAATATGAAGGGTGGGTAACCACCAAAGCTCTATTGATTTTTTTTTT